GTCATTTGACACAGGTGTAAATTCTGTACAAAATTCATAGGCGATTTCTGTTGTTTACTTTCTTGCTTGCTTTAACTCAGTCTGAAGTCTGAATTTTGTATTAAAGTTTATTCTATTTAAAGAGTCAGAATTCTAGTATTATAATTCTTCTTGTATTTCTATTTTATATTTTCTGGGGCTTGTGCTTTTCTTGCCATTAGTTATATTTACCATTGGCCCAACTTCTAAATTTTGAAAAACTTTTGAAATATGTAAAAGCACCAATAAATAATCATATATCAAGATATATCATAAACTCTGTTCTCTTTGCTTTTCTTTTCACCTCTGGTTAATTAAAGAGTATACTGCTTTCTTATATTCCTCTAAGTGATTATCTTTCCTTTGCAACAACTGTACTTGAACCCACAACTTGTCTGTTCATCAGTATAATGAATTAAGTCATTTTCGTTGACTCTTCCTCTATAAGAAGAGTAAGTATTTTTAAATTTACCCCCAATTCCTTTCTAACCCACTTTCATGTTTTCATTGGTATAATCTAGAATCTTCAGACTCAGGTTATTAATGTTTAATTTTATGTTTATTTATATTATGTTCATCTTTTCCAAGAATTGTTTTTAGACAATTACATTACTAAGTAACTATATTTATGGTCCTTAAAATAACATATTAGATTCAACTCTATGTTTAACTGATTTTAATATTTACTACCCTGACTTAATATCTGGATTTACCCATTCCTGTGTCCCCATCAGAGGAGTATATCTTCAAGGATTTTATTTGCTTTGTTCTTGTATTTTAGGGTGAGCTCATAAACTATACCCTTTGCACATACATCTTTTTGTTGTCTTCACAAATGAATAACTTGTCTGAGACTAGCACTGCTCTGAATCATAATCTTTTCCTCTCAGAATTCCATAGATACAGTCTTACTCTCTTATAATTTTCAAAGTTACAGCAAACTCTGAAAGCAGTCTGATCTTTGTCCTTTACAGGAAACTCTTTTCTTTCTGTATGCCTCTAGGGTTTATTTGTTTATTAATTCATATATTCAACAAATATTTGTTGAGTATCTGTTGTGTGTGAAACATTGATCTAGACACAGCAGTGAATGCAATAGACCAAAATCTCTGCCTTTACGCCATTGACAGTCTAGTGAAGGGAAACAGACGATAAACAAAATGAATGAATCAAACATAGAGCATTTCTGAGAGTGACACATGCTAGAAGAAGAATACCACTGAGGAAGAGCTTAGGGAATTGGACACATGGCAATTTTAATAGGGTCACCTTCAGTAGGGTGACATTCAAGAAAATCTTGAAGGAAATGAGGGAGCTAGTCACAGGGATATCTTGTGAAGAGCATTCCAGATCGAAGGAACAGCATACAGAAAGACCCTGAACTGAAACCAAAAGCATATATTATCCAAGAAATAATAGGAAGGCCGCTGTGGCTGGAGTAGAATGAGCAGAGGGGAGAGTGGAAGCTGATGAGATTAGAGTTGTCATGGAGGTCAGATCCTGTAGGGTCTAGTTAATTTGGTTATGTTCAGGTCGGCCTTCACCAAGCTGGAAGCCAGGGAAAATATGCACTGGGCATTGGTACTCTCTCAGAGGGAGATGTGGTCATGTCCCAACTAACTTGTCTGTGGAATCCCATTAAAATGCCTTTCTTAAGATCAAAAAAGTTTTCTTCTCACCCTCAATTTTCCTCTTATTGTTTTCTGTTCTTTTTTGTTTTAATCTGATTTTCGGTTTGAAAAAATTTTGAAATATTTTAAAGTATTTCATATACAGAAAAGAGCATACTCTTTTCTTTAGGAAAAGCAATTATATGTATTTTGAAGCACCATTTTCTGTCTCCTATGTATTAAATACTTAATCTCTTTTTTCTCATTTTTTGCTAGAGTTTTTCAAGTTTATCCAAGATTCCTGATTCCAAGTCCAATGCCTGCCTCATTCATTATTAGTCCAAAAGCTCAGTTAAAATAAGTTTGAAATTATTTATTTTGTGATGATTATTAGTTTTTTATATTAGGTTTTTAATTAGAAAAATAATGGCTAATATTTATTAAAGGCACACCTCACTCCAGATATTCTGCTAAGAGTTTGGGGTGTTTTATTTCATTTACTGCTCAGATCAACTCCTTGAATCACTGGCATTATCTCCATTGAACAGACAATAACACTGAGGCATATGGAGATTAAGTGATTATTGGCTCTGTTTTCTGCATCACCAATTCTGGTTTGTGATGCATCTAATGTTGCTGTTAACTTTGCTTCTTTATGTCTTTATTTACTATCTTATTTTTAATTATATTTCTAACTCCTCCCCACTTACTCCCTTCATATCTCATAGTGGTGTGCCATCGGCTCCTTTTTTAATTTCTTGTATCATAAACTGCATGTTTTCCCAAATTTCACTGAAGAGACAGATTTAGACGTATTCTAAAATGGTCTTCAGTTACTATAATCAGCATTTTTCAAGAGTAAGTTCTTTGCCTGACTTGTGCGCAGTGTTCCCTGTTGTATGTTGGAGATTTTCTCATAGACTTCATACGCTTCCTTTTTATTTCTCTGTTTACTCATCTTTGATCCAAAGGAAGAAAGAAAGAAAAGGGAAGTCAATCCAGAAATAAGATCTTGCTGGTAAATAAACTGAGATTTTTCACTGGTCCCTCTTCACCATCCATCCAGCTGTTGTTTGAGACCTTGGACTCGGTACATACACCAGAGGGCTGGCTCAGATGGCATTCTCTCATCCTCTCTCCAACTTCCCAGTGCTTTCCACTCTTGTATTTACTATGACTCAGCTCACGGGCAGCGAGAGACTCATGAAGCGGCCAAATGGTCGTGAGAAGGTCACATACTCCTGAAGACTCTGAGCAAAGTATAAATGCAAACTCCCACTCCTGAACGCCCACATCTGTCCTAGGGTCCACCCTTTCCCAAAGCCAATGTCACCTCCCAGGACATCCATCAGTCACCCTGATGCATTTCCACACCAGGGGCATGATCGTGCTGGGAGCCAGACTGGTGGGAGAGTACAGCTGGGGTGGAGGGAAGGAACAGAGAACTCTGACCTCCTTAGAATAAAATTCCCACAGAACGAGGATAGGGAGACTGAAACTGCCTTCACCTTATGTGGCTCCACTTTTTGCCTCAAGACTTGATCTGGGAACATCCCTGATGGCCCAGAGGCTAAGACTCCACGCTCCCAATGCAGCGGGCCCAGGGTTTGATCCCTGGTCAGGGAACTAGATCCCACACGCTGCAACTCAGAGTTCACATGCCACAGTTAAGACCTGGCCAAAATTAATTAATCAATTAATTATTCTAAAAAAGGCTTTATCTGACTTTTGGTTGGTGGAAGTTTTATATATATATATATATTATATAGCACATATGCTATATTTTTATATAAAACTGATTAACATTCCAGGGTTCTAGTGCAGCTAAACATGGCAAAATGTGTTTTAATAAACATCTCAGTGGAAAAGTAGAGAAGGTGAAACAGGCCTAACCAACTCAAACGGGAATAGGAATGCAAGCTCAGTGTGGCTTACATTTCCCCCTGGGGGATGGGCAGCCCCAGCCTCCTTCAGCCCTTTGGCCTTGCCTTTCCCCCACCTCAACCCTGAGCAAGGCAAGGAGTCTGGGATTCCCATCAGAGACAGGTGCTGGAGTTATCAGCAGAGTAACTGGTAGGAAGAATGGACTCTGGAATCTGCCTGGTTCAAATTCCAGCTCCATCACTTACTAAATGGATGACACTGGACAAGTGATTAAAAACAAAACAAAAAGACCTGTGCTTCAGCTTTCCCACTTGTAAAAACGGGGACAATGATAAAACATCTCACTTTCGTAGGGTCCTTTTGAGGAGCAAGTGATATAATATTTGAAAAGTACTTAGACTAGCACCTGACACATAACAAAATACTATGTACATGACTGATTCATTGACTGATTTAAAGTGGCCAGCGCTGGTAATCCAGAGGTCCCTGAGGTCCGAGCCAACTTATCTCCAAGATCCTTCATGAGGGGGCTTTAATGAAAATAACACCCCCGCCCACAAGCGCTAAGGATTTCTTATGTGCCAGACCCCCAGTACTTTACCCGCATGAATCATTTAATCCTCACAACAGCCCTGTGAGGTCGCTGCTATGATTCCCCCATTGTACAAAAGAAGCTTGTAGGTTCCACTGCTATTAAGCAGAGGAGTGAAGTGAAAGTCACTCAGTCACGTCCGACTCTTTGCAACCCCATGGACTATGCAGTCCAGGGAATTCTCCAGGCCAGAACACTGGAGTGGGTAGCCATTCCCTCCTCCAGGGGGTCTTCCCAACCCAGGGATCAAACCCAGATCTCCCACATTGCAGGCAGATTCTCTATCAGCTGAGCCGCCAGGGAAGCCCATTAAGAGGAGGAGCTGGGCTTCAAATCTGAGAAGGCTGAAAGGCAGAGCCACCTCTTTGAAGGGGAAAGAGATTTGAGGAGTTCAGAGACAAGCCGCTCTCTTTTATTAAGAAGGCTCCAGGGCAACTTAAAGAGTCCCAAACCCAGCACAGATCTGGTGTTCTACAGATATGTGCTAGATGTTTATAGAGTGAAAATCTAGCCCATGATCAATGATTTTCAATTGGGGAGGGGGAGAGATTTTGCCCCCAAAGTTAGGCAATTTCTGGAGACACTTTCGGTTGTCACAAGTAGTGGGGAGCCAAAGGGGTGCTTCTGGGATCTTGTGGGCAGAGAACAGGGATGATGCTAAACATCCATCAGTGCAGAGGGACCATCCCTCACGGTAGAGAATGATCCAGCCCACGTGTCAATAGAGCTGAGACCAAGAAACACAGGCTTCAGAATCAACTAGATCTCTTCACCTTCCCCTTCTATCTCCAACGAGACAAAGGAAATGAGATATCCCCAAGTACCATAATCCCCCAGAAGAACTCTGCACCTTGTCATTTACTTCTGTAAACAGGGCTCTCTGCATCTCTCCACAGTGCAGTTCATCGCATTGTTCTATATCTTTGGGGCAATCCCAGAACTGCACCCCTACCCCATCCGGGAGACAAGGAACTGTGAATTTCAAAGGTTAGAGGAGGTAGGGAGAGGAATTCTGTCCTTGGGAAAAAAATGAGCCGCTGGGGGGAAAAAAAAAACTCAGCTGGCAAGCCCCCCCAGAGCTGACAGTGGGTAAAGCCTAGACTATTTTAGATTTCAGAGGCTCCCAGAGAGAAGTGCCTCTCTGCTCCTTCCACTCTAGAGCTTTTGTTTTGCATTTAAATGAAAAGGGAGCTGCCTGGGAGAAGCCGGTGGCTCCTGGTTCTCTCCAAGGAGGGAAGCTGGCGCCCCTCTGTAGCGGCTGCGTTAATGTCATGTCATTACACCGTATTGCTGCACAGGTTAATATAATTGGGTGACTATGTGTGAGCAATGATCCGTGCCGTGTTACAGCTCTGAAACAAATGACATTTAACCAGCCGGTCTGCAAGGCTCCTTGTTATCTACGTGGTGAACAATTGGAACAGAGAAGCAGACCTCTGTACGAGCAACTGATGAATTAGTTGTTAGGTTTCCTCGACAGCCTGGATTTATAAGAGCACAATTCCGCCATAATTTATTAGATCTATAAACAGACAGATCCGATGTTTTTACTGAGATTACATCTTGTCACCCTCAGATATTGTATCACTGACAGCCCTGTTATAATTTAATTTTATTATTCTGATAAGGTGTTGTTTCCAGGGACTTTTTTTTTTTTCCTGAAAAGACATTTTCATTTTGGCTGGAAAGGAATCAGAAACTTTGCTCCTGGCGTATCTGGTGTCCAGGCCATGTCCAGGCTTATCCAGGCCGTGACTGTGAGCATCTCAAGGGCAGGAAGGAAGCTTTCGTGTGAATGAGTCTAGGGCCCTGGCCTATGGTGTGGCAAGAAAAAGCTAAGCCCAGTATCTGAGGAGTGGAATTGGGCCTGTTGGAGAAATCAGTGAGGCCAGTGATGGATCTCCTGTTCTAGAGTTTTTCACCTTTTCAGGCTGTCTGCCCCACTCTGGGTCCACTTATCAGCCAAGAACACAGGCAAGTCCACTACATGTCCAGTCCCCACTCACCTGAGGTTCAAGCTGGGGCCTCTGACCCATCTGGCAAAGGAGTTGCCCTCAAAGCTATTCTTCTTTTTGTTTTTATTTGGCTGCATCAGATCTCAACTGTGGCACATGAGATCTTCCATCTTCATTGCGGCATGCAAATCTTTTAGTTGTGGAGGACAAACTCCTGGTCATAGCAAGTGGGATCCAGTCCCCCAACCAAAGACCTAACCCAGACCCTCTGCCCTGGCAGCACAGAGTCCCAGCCACTGTACCACCAGGGAAGTCCCATCCCTCAGAGCTATTCTAAACCCATTTCCCTCAGTCACAGAAAAGTGAACACACCTGCTTTCAAAGGCCCTTCTGGCAAAACCATCACAGCTCTGTGGGACCAGCACCCAAGAGCACAGAGACGGCGGTTGTCACAAGCAGTGCAAGCGAGAAAGGGCCTGAGGGCTGTGGCCCAGATCATCCCGGCCAAGTAGAGCAAGATGGTGGAAAACTGCCCGACATGGAGGCAGTCAGATGGGGGTAGCCATGACCCCACCTAACACACGATACCTGCCTCATGAGTCCTGGTGAGAGGAAAACAAGGAAATGAACAGGGAGGTGATTTGGAAGTGTAAGCCCTGTGCAGAGGAAAGGTACATTCGTTAACAACAGAAGCTCTAAACAGAAGCTCTATTTTTTTTCATCTGGAGGGATATATATTTTTATTATCATTATTTCATAATAATCTACATACAACTTTGAATTTTACCAGGAACTTACACATGATATGATGTAATGTGAGCTCATTTTAATCTCCCTAATAATATAGCAATGGCACCCCACTCCAGTACTCTTGCCTGGAAAATCCTATGGATGGAGGAGCCTGGTAGGCTGCAATCCATGGCGTTGCTGAGAGTCGGACATGACTGAGCGACTTCACTTTCACTTTTCACTTTCATGCATTGGAGAAGGAAATGGCAACCCACTGCAGTGTTCTTGCCTGGAGAATCCCAGGGACTGGGGAGCCTGGTGGGCTGCCTTCTATGGGGTCACACAGAGTCAGACATGACTGAAGCGACTTAGCAGCAGCAGTAGCAGCAATAACATGGTGAAGGTGGGTGATTTTATTTTCCCCATTTGAGGCGTGAAAAAACCAGGGCTCATGGCCCAAAGTTATTCGGCTAGTTACCAGAGTCTAACTCACAATGAAATAATACCATCTGCAGCAACATGGACGAATCTAAAGAGTGTCATACTGAGTGAAGTCAGAGAAGGAGAAATATCATATCACATCCCTTCCATGTGGAATCTAAGAAAAATTGGTACAAATGAACTTACATACAAAGCAGAAAGCGATTCACAGACTTTGATAACAAACTTGTGGTTGCCAGGGGAAGGGATAGTTAGGGAGTTTGGGATGGACATGTACACACAGCTATATTTAAAATGGATAACCAAAAAGGACCTACTGCATAGCACGTGGAACTCTGCTCAATGTTATGTGGCACCCTGGATGGAAGGGGAGTTTGGGGGAGAATGGTTATGTATGTTTATGTAAGACTGAGTCCCTTTGCTGTCCACCTGAAACTATCACAACATTGTTAATTGGCCATATACACCCCAATACAAAACAAAAAGTTAAAAAAAAAAAGATTTTAACTTACTACTCAGTAACCCCGTATCTGTGACTTTGCACTTCTGATAAAATCAGGGCTTTCTCTGGTCCAGAAACCGGCTCGTTCAGGATTGGAATGGAGCAGGGCACCGTTCTGAGAACAAGCAGAGTGAAAGTTTGTCACCAGCTCCCTGTTCTCAGGAGCTTAGCCACAACTCGCTCATTGAGAAGCTGATTCTGGTCAGCTCGCCAACAGCCCAGGGTGGGGGTACTCTGGGGTTTTAGCTCCATTTGCTTTCAGGACCAGCTTCTGTCCCCAAGGTTGGAAGCAATTTTTGGAGTCATTTGTAAAGACCCCATGCCTCATGGGAAGAAATGAAATTAATATCAGAAGTGACAGCATCTGAGTGGCAGCTTCATAACAGGCTTGAACCCCGACCTCTGGGCTACAGCTGGGAACGGCTCAGTCAAGCACGTCATTGACTCCCAGGGTCCTGGAACCTGAGATGTGCATGCGGGCTTCGAGGTCAACCCAGTCCAGCCCCCTCATTTTACAGATGAGAAAGCTACATTCCAGAGAGGGCAAGGGGCTCGCCCAAGGTCACACAGCAGACAAGCAGGAGCAAACTCAGGGCTGGAACCAGCCTCCTGGTTCAGGGCTTCTTCCAACATGGGGTGCCCCAACAGGGAGACTCAACTGTTTGAAGCTTTTCTGAGATCCAATAAAACGCAGGGTCCATTAAGGCACCAAGTTAGAAACATGCAACCAGCACAGATTTGTAAAGCCACCGTGGGCAAGAGTGGGGGCCTTGGGCAGAGCAGAGACACACTCAGTCACCTTCACCTTGAACCTCTTGCCTCTCCCTTCCCGGGTTCCAGGCCTGTCCCCCTCCTACGAGCAGCCTGGGCCCTACTCTTAGGATTTTAACCCAGGACACATTGATTTTCTGGATCACTTCTCTGTTCTCATTACATAATTTCCCTTCCAGACAATTCTGCCTCAGGTCATGCTGGTAAATGTTTCCTGGGTCTTACCTGATCCTCAGGACCTTCTCCTAGGGAGTCTGACCCCAGCCCTGAAATGGAAGGGAACAGGAGCAAAGCTTTGGAAAATATTAATGCAACAATTTCAGCTCAAGCATCACATCCCCAGAGCAGCCTTCCCTGACTCCAACCATGTCTGTCTCCAGCATCCTTGGCCAAAGAGCTTCTGTGTGAGTGTAATTTCTTGATCGGCATGTGTCTTCCCCATGAGAGTGGAGCTCTGAGAGACCAGGCAATGGGTATTTCTGTTTACTGCTCCATCGCCAGCGCTCGGCTCGGTGCCTTTCACGAGGCAGGTGCTCAATAGATACCTACTCCCCGAGGAAGAGAGGCAGATAAAGCACTTCTTCCCCACCCAGCCCCCGGGATGCTGTGGAAGATAGAGGATTCCAGCTGCCCTTGGGGAGTCCAACAAGGATGTGCCTCTAAGCAAAGGATAAGGTGGCCTGGCTAACTGGGCTTTAGGGTGGGTATAGCTGAGACAGAGCCAAGAGATAGCACCCCATCCCCACTGGCCACCTTCTTCCTAGGGATGAATGGCTCCTATTGCCCTCAGCTGTAAAAGTGCCCAGTGAGGGTGAGGGTGAGTCAGGATGGGGGTGGCCACCACAAGATGACCCCTCCTACCTGCTTCTCATGGTTGCTCCAGCTTACAGGGGTTCCTGCTTGGAACTTGGCAGCCCATTAAGGTAGAGAAGGTACAAGGCAGGAGAGAGGGTCCTGTGAGTCAGCGGAGGTAAGCCTAGCCAACGGGGAGAGCAGGAAGAGAGGTTACTGGGTGCCCAGAGAAGCCCCTTTGGAACCTGTCTTTGGGTCCAGAGGGAGAAACATGAGCCTTGGGGCCCAGCACAGGACCTGTGTCTCAGTACTGGAGTGACAGATCAGCAGAAACTGCTCAGAGTCACAAAGCAGCGTCTACAGCCTCCACTCTTGAAAAACAGCTGGATCCCCAAGGACCCCCATTTGACTCACATTCTGGTCAAGAATGGAAGGGATGGGCTGATGCCTCCAGAACCTGGCGATCCTCAGCAATAAGGGCTCCCAGGCAAACTCAGTTAAGCACACAGGTGCAATGTCATTGAGAATTGTATTACAAGGTCCACCCTCTAGGACAGCATTTTTCAAAAAAAACAGAATGCAAGCCCCATATGTTATTTTACATTTCCAAGTAGCCACATTTTTTTTAAAAAACAAAAACAGAAACAGGTGAAATGAATTTTATATATTATAGCCTATTTAACTCAATATATACAAGGTACTACTATTTCAACATATAGCAATATAAAAAGATTGCTGAGATATTTTACACTCGTTTTTTGCACTGCACTGACTATTTTATATGTACTTGGACTAGCCATGTTTTAA